CCAAAATAAGTTCAAAAAGTGTTCCTTGGTCAACTTTCAGGAATTCTTGGTCCCAAACAGGGATATCATCTGTCCGCTTTTCTTTGTTCTCATCATCCTCGGGAGGAGGGGGGTCATCCTTGTGGTGGGTGCACCACTGAATGACCTGTAACAAAGAAAGTTCATTCCTTTGTGGCATTACGTCACAAGATACTCATTCCACTACTGGCGCAAGGTTATTCCTAACAATGGGCTAAGAACTAGCTAGAAGCTAACTTGAGTAAGCAAATTACTGGCCGAGTTTGAAAAGCAAAACTAAAGCCTGAGGAATCTTCACAACCCTAGAGGCTAGAAGATCTTAGAGAACAGCAAACCTTGCAGATAGATTACTATTTTGACCACATTAAAAAGCTCCTCACAAAAAAATACACAAAGTCAGACAGGATAATGAGTGGAAAATACATGCAACACGAACAACAAGTAATTGATTACCCTCTAGAATATAAATTTTAAAAATCACTACAAAGTGGGGCACCCGGCTGACTCAGGCAGTAGAACATGTGATTCAATCTCAGGATTGTGAATTTGAACCCATTGGGCATAGAGCTTACTTTAAAAAGAAAAAAAAATCACTACAAAGAAACGGGCTACAAATACGAACAGGCTATTCACAAAGGAAATCTGAATACTCAAACAGGAGAAAACGCGCAGTCTCATTAGATACAAAAATCGATACTCCAGGAAAGTCCTACTCTAGAATGACCAAAAAAAAAAATCAAGATTTTATACTCATCACTGGCAACACTGTGAGGATAACATAAACTCTTATAATGGAGAGTGTAAATTGGTATAATCCCTTTGAAAAGTAATCTAGCAACTACCTATACCTAGTGAAGATGAGGATGGGCATACATTATCACCAAGCAATTCTAAATACCACGAGACTACTGAGTGTAAGAACAAAGTAAGAAAAGCCGAAATGTCCCCTTCATAGGGGAATAAACATATATCAAGTTTCAGGAAGCAGGTTAGACCACATGTACCATCATAAAGGCCTAAATCAACACTGAAAGTGTGACAAGTTGTAGAATCTAGGTGGTAGGTAAATGGGTTTTTGCTGTGTAATATCACTTTTCTGTATGACTAAATTTTGTTCATAGTATATAATGCTGGAGAAATAAAAAATGCTGGGGAAAAAAAAGGCAGAGCTAAGAAATTATACTGTCAGAGGTAAAAAAGGAAAGATCTATTCTATTTTTCTTTTAAAAGATTTTATTTATTTATTTGAGAGAGAGAGAGAGAATGAGAGATAGAGAGCATGAGAGGGAAGAGGGTCCGA